ATACTTTTATTTTTGATGCAAAGACAGAGTGCATTATTACATTTCGTAGCAATTTGTGTCCACCAAAGATTATTATGCGACCCGGAAATCAAACCTTTTCGGAACGTGAAAACCCGCGGTGACGGAGTACCGATGTGTACAACGAAGTAAATTGAGAAATACTCCGAAACGCGGGGCTTCAAGCTGGTCCTGCAAAGTAGAGTCAACATCACTATTGCAAATTACTCTCCTAGTCTATCGCGCTATGTATTTCGTTTCGTATAATTATTTACGTACATATGAATATGTACGGGGGAATCGAGAGCGTTACACGTGTGCGGTACGCAATTTCATTCCCTCGTAATAATTTTGCATTTTAATACCATCGAGCTCGCGTCTTTGGAACAGAGAAAGAACCAAAAACAATGTTCATTTTCAAAACATTTTATTATTCCAGATATTTCTAAGATCACTTTTCTGAAATTTCAGAGTAAAACCTACTCTTAATAAAAGTTTAAAAATATTAAAAGCAGGTGGACAGAGGAATCCATATTTCATGGGACGTTCCAAATTCCTTAATGAACTATTTATTTTTCGAGCACCGCGTATATGCCAGAAAAATACGAGGGGAACTGTTAGTTCAGTTTCTCATAACCGTTAACGACAGCTGAAATATTTGTTTCCGAGAATATTTCACGTTTCATTTTGCGGTGTAGATTTTATTATCGCCAATGATATAACTTTTAATTCGAACAACACCCGATATCAATAACGCGAAACGAATCGTAGTATAATAATCGTTACGAGTAACGAGAAAGTTTACGGAGAAAGTAGTATCCTTTAATTTTTATTTATTTCGCTCGTGAAAGTCGATCTAATTGAAGGAACGCGCGCGCGCGCGCGGTTCTCGTCAAAAAAAAAAACACCCGACGAGCTTTTTAACTCTGACGAAAATTTCCACCGCGGAGAATTTCTCTCTTATCACTGTATAATGTTCCTTCGAAGGGCGTAATTTTCACCCAGACAGTTTTTTTTCATACATCCGTAAGCAGCGGGAGGTACTCAGGTGGTTCCCATTTAACTGGTCCATTTTGTATTTATAATGCGGACGAAGTAGTTGGATACAGAGACAGGGGGGAAAATGCGCCAAAATTTTTGTGCCTTCGTTCCATCCCGTTAATGCATAAGTTTTTCCTTCTGGCCAGAAATTTCTCTAAAATGTGTCTGGAGAATTTTTCATCCCGAAGTAAAACTCTCTCCATCTCTCGTGCGGAGCGAGTCACCCAACATTGCAACAATTTTTCTTTGCAATGGGTGAAATAAAAGATTTACTCAGGAACGTGCATAAACTACTCTAATTGGATTTATATTTTCGTTATTCAACGAATATTCGCTGTTTCTTGATTTTTTAAACATGTCTGAGAATTTACTTTCCGTACGAAATTATTAATAAATTTTTTAACCGAAATATTTGCAACGAACGTTGTGTATGGAAAGGGGGGGCTGTTTTTGGCGAGCGTAACGAGAAAAATCGAGAAGACCGATCACAAAGGAGAGGATGTAACGGGGTGTGAGTGTCAAGGGACGAATGAGGTTAATTGCATCGATATCGTGACAATAAAAGAACCGAGTAAGCGGCACGAAACAAGAATAGGGGGACTTGTGTACCGGCATTGACCCCGTACGCATGCTTATCGCGCTATAATTTTTAATTACACTCGCGTGTCAGCGTGTCGTTACACCCCGCGACACCCTCGCCAACCCTCGTCGACGCGTGAAAGAATCGTCCGCGGATGGGCGTTGTGTACGGGGCGAGCATTAACTGGAAAAACAATAATCCTTTGACGAAGCAAACGCTGAACCGTGTTAAGTGAGTGTCGAGAGTTTATTGGGGGACTCGCCGGGAAATGGTTAATAAGGGAATTGGGGGAATATCAAAGGCGATCGATGCCAGGAAATGTAGGACGTTTGGAAATTGTGGATACTCGCAGGAAACTGTAAATCTCTCGAATCTACAGAAATCGAGAAGTTACAACTCGAAGTTTTAAAAATCGAGAGAATGTACCTATTATTCGGGGAATTTTAGAAATAGTTAAAAAAGGCATTTAAGAGAAAATTGATCAAGTACGTGTGTAGCAGGATACATCGGAATAAGTAGAAATGTCGATCGTTGGTCAGACGCGTCAAATTTCCAAGTTCTGTTATTCGTCTTATAATGGCACGTAGAATTGAATTTACAATTGTTCTTCTTTTGTATAGGGTGATAAATTAATAGAAATTACAGTATTATGAATAAAATTATCGAACGAATGTTCAAGGATTTTTCATTCGACCAGTGAACAAAGAGTTTGAGAACGACGTCGGGGATTGTTGTTGGGAATGTTTGGAACGGTTCGGTGGCAAATGAAGACGGGGATGCATTATGGAATACTTTGGTATAAAACCACAGCGTGTATGGATCGTTCAACGAGAGTCCCTTTGTGTACAGCGTCGCGTGCCGTCACGGTGGCAAATTTCCGCGCTGACGTGTCTGGCGCGTCGGTTATACGAGTTGTTTATACGAGCAATAATTTATTACTTACCCCTAGGACGCAAGGGATCGTTAATATTATAGACGTCAGAAGGGGAAGATGGAGAATGCGTCGGAATTGTATCGCGCTTAAGCGAAGGGACGGGCGACGAGCGCATCGGGAAGTGTTTTGATAATTTTAATAAATCATCGATACCCGCGTGTTTCATTTTTCTTGTTCGTAAATCGGAATTTGTAACAAGTTTCTCGGATTCGTCATTTGTTATTCGTAATGAACGCCTAATAATTGTCGTACTTTGGAAAATTGAAACTGTCGCGCGCATAAATCTTCCGCGCGAGACCTTTTTATTTGTCATACCGAGAGTGCAATAGGTTTCTCGGTACGTCGGAATTCCATCTTGATTTATCACTCGCTGCGCGTAATGAACGTCCGACATAATAATTTGTGTACATTAGAAAATTGAACCTGCCGTTCGTGGCGCATAAATCTCCCCCCCGGGGGGTGGAGAGACTTTTATTTATCATTGCCAGGAGTGAGTCTCTCTCGGTACGTCAGAATTCCATCTTGATTTATCGCTTATTATACGCCGGGGCTAACGTCCCGGGATAATAATACTTTTATATCGAAACAGACCGTCGTTTGGTCAAGCACATGAATTCCTGGACACTCGTACATACATACGTCCATTACGGTATGAAAAATGTTGTAACGAGACCTGGACCTATCAGAGGAAAGAGAATCGATTGGGAGGAAGAACTCGACCGTGCATATCAAAGATAATATTATTCCGTACAAATAAATCTGCAATATTGTTTGGTCTATATACAGGATGTTCAGTGAACCCTATAAAAATTTTTAATAGGAGATTCTAGAGGCAAAAATAAGGCGAAAATCAAGAATGTCATTTTGTTGATCGAGGCTTCGTTAAAAAGTTATTAACGTTTAAAGTTAAAGTGTCACATTGTTGTGCGCACGCAGCTGTTCGCAGATTGCCGTTCAACAGGCGGAACTTTAAACGTTAATAACTTTTTAACGAAGCCTCGATCAACAAATTGGTATTCTTGATTTTCACCTTATTTTGGCCTCTAGAATCTCCCATTAAAATTTTTTTCCCCGTAGAAATAAATTATTCGAAACAACACACATTTATTTCTAATTTTATAAAATTGATACGAATCCAAGATATCGTTACTCCAAACTATATACCTGCGCCTTAAATTTCGTTTATTTCTCTGCCTGTAATTTGTCCATTCTCGTGACAAACCAGCGTGTCACGATAGAAAGCGAAACGGAGATTATCGGGAGGCGAAAAAAACAATTTTCCTGTATCCAATTTCCCCAGGCCGCAAGTTCGACAAGTTCTAGGCGCGAACGTTTCCCCAAGCGGCCCCGGGGTGGCTCTTTTCACGACTGGCTCGTCGTCTTGTCGTCCGTCAGCCGTTTGGAAATTCGAAATTTCTATAATTTCAACTTTTCCGGCCGGCCAGCCCTGGTTTAGACCACAGCGAACCTTGGCCGCCGTCAACTTTTATTCGGGGTAAAAGGGGTTTCCGAACTCGTTTCGACGGGGACCAACAGGGAGTCGCCCCCGCCGCCCACCCGTTTCCGCTCCACGGTTTCCGGGGCGTCCCTCAGAGAAATTTAACTTTCTTCGCGTTCGACCGCGGGAATCGATACCGAGAACTCCCCGGCTAACGAGTCCTTCTTCCGTGAATTTATGTCAGGGGTGGATGCTTCTGTTCTTACTCAGCGTTTCCACCCTGTATCGGGCTAATGTCTCCATCGTATCCTCGGGAAAACCGATCGGTTCGATCCGATGTACGATTTTTCACCGTTTACTCAATCTTCTCCTTGGCAAAGAACAGTATATTTTGCAAAAAAATTCTCATCGTCAGATTTGCTTCGAATTAACAGACCGTACCCTTTGAAGAACATTTTGGGGCGAATACTATATTAATATTTTAAATTCCATTCGATCGACAGAAGAAGCATATAATATTTTGCAGCCCTAAAAAATCTTTATCATCAGATTTGCTTCGAATTAATATACCGTACCCTTCGAAGAACATTTTCGGGCAAACACTATATTAATATTTTAAATTCCATTCGATAGATAGAGTCTATGGTCGTACATATTCAGAAATGATCGTGGTAAGATTTACAGGCTTGCTAATGGACTTGTTAGTAAGTCAGTCGAGCGCTTGCGAGAGAGACAAGAGCGTGGCCCTCTGGTGGCGAGTACGGGAACTGTCGCCACAGAGCCAATGTTCAAATACAGAAGGTATCTTGGAGCGCGAGTTGTTTATTATAATTGACTATTTACACCCTTTTGTGAGCATCTTACGAAAACTATTTTTATATTTTAAATTCTATTCATTAGTAAGGCAGTCGAATTATTTTGTGGAAGTAATAGTTAAAACGTCATTTTGGAATGATTTTTGCAACTCTAAAGGGGAGTGTTGGTTTGACCATTTTCAATTTTGTTTCCAGGTGCTGCGTTTTGGGGTTTGATAAATCCCCAGTGGTCAATGTGCAGCAATGGAAGAAGACAGAGTCCTATCAACATCGAGCCTGACAAGCTCCTCTTCGACCGCCACTTGAGACCGGTGTTGGTCGACAAACACAAGGTAATCTATCGGTTTCTTTTTTATTCTCCTGCTTTTATAGTCCCAGAGTGTCGCCCTATAATCGAAGCAAATATCGAGATTACAGAAAATAAGAAATTTAAACGACGGAAAACAAAAGAAAGACCCGTTGCATTTAGCTTCGTACAAATTGGAAAACAAATATAATTATTCGCGTTTGTGTTTCTGTACGAATATACATATAATTCGAAATAGTATTTATAGTTAATCCTTCGAGGTAATAATATATATTACCCTATTTTGGTATTTAAAAAATCTAATACGAGACAGTTCTTGACGCACACGTCTCTGTTTCGCGTTTTAAAAATGTTCTCATTCGTCGGTGGAGAAAATGCATTATACATATAAATTGGATTTCCCAGAAACTGTTCATACGTCAAGGATTTAACTAAGATACATTTTCGAATCCGACGAACAATTGTTTTATACTTTCGACAGCCCATAGATATAAATTCTTCGAGTATTTGTTAAAGTACCGTGCAAAATCATTCGTCCAGTATATTTAAAAATGCTTGAAAATTAACTGTAATCCCTTTTCGAAACGAAAGCGAAAAACGCGAGAATTTTAAATGTTATTGTTGTTGTTAAGATAAAATAAAATGAAAATACTCGAACCAGTTAGCCATTGCAGTAAACTGCATAATAGTGACAGAGAATAAAAACTATATAGAATCGAATACACGATAATTTGGTTGTAAATTAGAATATTATAATATTCACGTTCACGAACGTGTTATGTACAATGATATTATTATTTAACAATATGCACGAGCGTGAGTGAAAGTTCGAAAGCGTCGTCGGGCTATTTCGGTCCGAAATCCGCGTATCGAAAGAGGGGTAAAAGATAGGCAGTGAAAGCATCGACACTTTCGACGTTGCGGTAACGGGACGTTAAAGTGAAAATTAACATTTTTCGGATGATTTATTTCACCAGGGACTTCTATCGGGAAAAGCGCATTCAACTCGGCACGAGTAGCTCCGCGGAGGGTATTCCCAGAGCTGTCGCCGTCTAGTAATGGATTTCGAATTCACCGTGGACCGCTCCACTTTCTCTCTGTCCATTTTTCACCGGGCGAGTTCGTTAATTCGATAATAAATCCATTAATTACCAGCCTGCCTATTTAACGTTCGTCCCAGCCTCACCGTCCGCGCGGTAATAACCCCAAGGCTCCAGAAACACTAATCTTCCATTAAGTAAACATTTATTCATCCCCTTCTACCCCTCTCCGCCGACGAAAACTACTCGACATCCCTCGTCCACGGAATAGCGATCAATCTTGACGATGACCGCGACGATGACGATTCAAATCACGCGATGCAACATCGAAAATACTTTAAACTTACCGTAATGGTCGAAGAATTCATTTTCGAGCGCCGGTCACCGGTGACCACCATGGAAATCGGGTTAAATTCCGTATTTCGAAGCAACAAAAATTCTCTACGCATATAAATAAAAACAAAAATTAAATATAGCGCTCATACTAATTGCAATAGTCGAAGAATTTATTTTCGAGTGTCGGTCACCGGTGACCACCGTGGAAATCGGGTTAAATTCCGTATTTCGAAGCAACGAAAATTCTCTATACATAAAAATAAAGATAAAATCACTTTAAATATATCGTCCATACTAATTGCAATAATCGAAAAATATATTTTCGAGTGACGGTCACCGGTGACCACCGCGACAATCAACGAATTTCGAAGCAACAAAAATTCTCCACGCATAAATACAAAAACAAGACGTTATATAATGTTCAAAAAAACATAATTTTCACAATAAATATATTTAAAATTATTTCAAGTCACCTACAATGACGAAAAAAATCTCGTTTAATCGCTTTAATTTTACTTCGCTAAAATTTACGAAGCCCATTTAAATTTATTTTCTTTGACACTTCCACTTGAGAATTCTTTTATTTGTATTAAATTTATATTAAAAATGATGAAATTTGTGTCTGAAAATTTTTGATTCGATGAAACTCGTAAGGTATTTATAATTATACTAAATATAATTTTTCGATCGACATATTATTTTGATTTCTGTGCGTTTGTATCTTTCCCCGTGGCGATTTTTATGTTCGAATAATTGTCTCCCGTTACAACGCGCTGAAACGAGATGCGTGGGTGATTAATATACTTCGTGCTTTTCAATCACAACCGCGCTGGGTACGTATTCGCGATTTTCGTAACGCGACAACAACGGAATATTAACGCGCGGAACGTCCGTTCCCGCGTATTGTCCGTAATAACGCGGAGGAGCCGGCCGTTTTAAAAAAAATATCGAATTTCCCCTGTTTATTACAACGACCGGGAAACGGACGAACGAAGTTGCGAAGTGAATTAATCCATAATTCGCTTCCAGGGGAGAATCAACGAAACTGAATCGCCGCCGGGCGAAAGATGGGATTAAAACTGGTCGCAACTTCAACGTCGCATAAATTAAACGAATCAAAGTAAAATTTTGTGCCTGACAGCCCTGTCCCGGGGAATTTGCAACTGAACGCGCGAAGTAATTGTCCCTAGTAACGAGATTTTCTGTAAATAACTGCGAGGACTCTCGGTAACTCGCTCCCCTGACCGTCTCGATCGTTTATCGTTAACTGATTCGTCAAAGCATCTTAAATTCTACACTCTGTGTCGACGAATTAAAACCAAGATCAATGTCTGGAGATCGACGATGTAAAAATTAATCAGAGTTAAGGATTATGAAAGGATCTTGGAATTATATCTCAGTTTCTGTAAAACCTTAATCCTCACATAGAAGTAATGGATTTGTAAATCAGTAGTTCGATTCAAATTTTGTGAAAGTCTCTATTCGTCACGATGAAAGAAAACAAATACTAGTTTAGACGAGGTTCGAGAGGAGAACAATTTTTCGATTATTCATCGGGTGTATCTAAAATTTGTGTACGTTTGTTCCGCATTTTCAGGGGCTTTCAATCGCCCGGAGACGCGCAGTCAAACGACAATCTCGCGACGCTCGCTGCTTTCCAGCGCTGTTTGCGCTTTTTTCTCGCGAGGCGTTCAAAGAAAGTTTCCCTTCCCCGGGCCTCGTCGCGAACGGAAGCGTTTCGTCGTGGAACAGTCGACGCGAGCCTTTTGAGAAACGGCGTCCGTCGTCGGGCACGTGCCCTTTGTCGGATTTTTGTAAAAGACGCGCGGGTGCCGCGGCTTCAAAGGGCGAAAACGTTTTGTTTGTTACGCGCGACGGGCCAACTCGAATCGCGTCACAGCCGATTCAGGCGAATCACGTGGCCTTCTCAGCTGACTCTTTGATTGCCAGCACGTGAGCTGAACCCCCGATCGACCGGATGCTTGCTGTCGATTGTCTAGTTTCCAGGAACCAATAACTATACACCCCTACAGACGTCAAGAATTTACTGAAACGTCGAGATTCCAGCCTCGAAACTCGTGGATATACAAATTGCCGCGTGGAAGCAACAATTATTTGCATTTTGCAGTGGTGTTGGAAATTTCAACAGTTATTAGTTAATGTTATTTTAAATTACTTAATTAACTATCTGGCAAGTACCTCAATACTTTGGAATCTGTATAAAATCGTGGGGCATAGGACTTTCCAAATTAGAACACTTCAAGAACAGTTAGAACATCTTAAGAACTCCGTAAGAATCGAACTAAGAACATTGAAATTACACTGGTAACATATGTACATATTTGTAAATAAATCCAGGTGTTTGTAAATAGTATTGAACTTCTATTTACTAAATAAACGGCTCCACGAACATAGTGGGAGCCTACAAGTGGCCTATCGTATTTCAATCTTGGGATCTCTGTGTGCTTGATGAGAGAAAATTGGGATAATTTCGTGCTAGGATGAATTCTAAAATAATTTAGATATAATTAGTATACGGAGAGAAAAGTCAATTTATGTTAAAGGATCCTCGTTAGATTCGATCAGCTAAATTATCAAAGGCAGCTTATGATAAAATTGTTATTTTGCAAAGAAGAATAATATATTAGGCTATTTGTTGTCAAATAACAATAGAATGACTCTGTTATAAAGAATAATTTCCAATTACAATACTCAAACCTTGCGCGCGAAGTGTGTCTGGCCATATACGATATACTACTACTTAAATTCGATTGTACAAGCATCTAATTAATTCAGAAGTCACTAAACGGCACTGAAAAACCTGACTGATCATTACTATCACTATAGACATAGTTTAGCCCTCATTTAAAAAATTTTCGACGCTTTTGAAATATGAAAAAATGTGCAATATTTATTTCTGCTACAATTTCAGTACATATAGGATTCGAATCGAAACGAAATTGACTGGACTTTCCCCGTAGAAATAATTCATCCCGCTCAGTTTCGTCGGGAATTATTCAGAGGCACTCGAGAAGTTACTAAAATTCGCGGGAACATTAATCCCGCGATCGTATTAATATCGTAATTAAAAACAAGACCGATACGACCGTAAAACATTTCGTAATCGAACGAACGGTTGTATTATTCGAACAGCATCCAGTTTCCAATTTGCCCCCGTACGCGGGGTAAAGTTTCAATAAATTTTAACGTTACAGGTCGTTCCATTTGGTAATCGTAATTTTGGATCGCTGGATTATTTACATCGACGAAAAACAGGGATAGTCCACGATAGGCACGATGGGGGGTGTAGCGTTTACGCGAACACGAGCGGAAGAAGCTCCTCGATCGGACGATCCTGTTAGGTAATCTTATACGTCGGCTGTCTACGACTGTTTCAAGGCCCCCGTCGAACCGTATCGGGGCGTTCGTTTCGCCCCTACGCGGGCTGTCGCGGCGATTTACATAAAACAATTTCCGCAGCTGCACTTTCGCGTCCACGGGGCTGGAACAGACGTAAAATTCTCGTGTCGCGTTATGTCACGCGAATACGCGATAAAAGCATGCGTGCACGATCCACGATAGAGCCCGAATAACGTTGTTCAACGAAACGCAACCCTACGTAATCGGTCGATCTTCTGCGAGATCGTTC